GGCAGGGCACGGCGACGAGAGGGACGAGTCCTCCTCCCGTGCCCTGCCCGCGTGGGATCGGGGAGGCGCCCACGGGCCGAGAGCCTCCCGCGAGTCGCAGCCGACCGGATGCGCTGTCCGTCCTCGGCCCGCGCTCCCCGGCTCTCCCTCGAGCCTCCCCTCCGCTGCCCCCGTGCCCTCGGTCCCTGCGCTTCCCCGCCCCCCCGAAAGTGGCGCAGGGGTACGTGCTCCTCCTCCTCCTCCTCCTGTTTCTCCTCCTCCTGTTTCTCCTCCTCCTGTTTCTCCACCTCCTCCTCCTCCTCCTCCTCCTCCTCCTCATCCCCTCATCCTCCTACTCTCCTCTCCTCATCCCCTCCTCAACCTCAACCTCCTCCTCCTCCTCCTCTTCCTCCTCCTCCTCCTCCTACTCTCCTCTCCTCATCCCTTCCTCAACCTCAACCTCCTCCTCCTCCTCCTCCTCCTCCTCCTCCTCCTCCTCCCGTACCTCCTCTTGGTCCCCCTGGCCCCCCCCCTTGGACGAGACAAACTCGCGCGGGGCAAAGCAGAAGTCGCGAGAAGCTTGTCCTGCCTGCAGTCGGGCCGCGGTGTAAGATTGAGATCAGCTCGGGGAGGGTGCCCAGGTGTTCTTCGTACTTGGATGTTCTTGTGCATCCCGGGGGAGGGCACCCTTATAGATGCTTTGCTTGTCTTGGCCGGCGCCTGCAGGCATTGGCTCAGCAGCGCTCCGGCAGGAGCGCGCAACGTCCCCTGCACCATGAGCTTGCGTGCGCAGCTCCTCGTCCCCCGCTCCCCCGTCCGCCCCTTCCTCCCCTCAGCCTCTTCCTCCTCGTCTGCCTTGTCTCACCAGCCTCGAACTTATCCCTATCCCTAAGATTGACACGCCAAAAGGCGATGACAATCTGAGGGATTCGCGCTCCAAAAATAAGGGAATCCCTAAGATTGTCTTCGTGATGAGGAGATGCCCAGCATAGGGATAGGGATATGTTGCAGGCTGGTAACGTCCGCCCCTTCCTCCCCTCAGCCTACTCCTCCTCGTCCGCCTTGTCGTTCTCTGCCTCCCTCTCTTCCCGCTCCCCTCCCGAGAGCTGACGCCGCCACACAGACGGCAGGCCCTGGGGCACCAGCTTCCTGCGGCACCCCTCGAGCCAGATTGATCCGCGAGGGCCCTGGGGCCCCCGTGACGGGGCGACAGCGCCGGGCGTGAAACAACGTGCCACGCCCAGACCTCAGGGCCACCCCCGCCTATCGTTTGGGGGGCGGAAAGGAGGGGGGTGATGACTAGGGGGGGTGGATATCATGGCGGGGGGCATGATGCTTCCCCAGATTTCTTGACGCCTCTTCTCATTTCAATACGGTCCCGGCCCCCCCGCTGGGCCGCGCACATGCCGCCGGCCATGATTTGCACCCCCCTCTCTTGGACACCCCCCTCTTGGCCACCCCGCCTATCGTTTTTGTCCAGTTCGATCCGAGTCGGTTCCGATTTCCCGGCGGTCCGATGCGGCCCGATGCCTGCACGGCGCTGCTGTGCGTCCTGGTGCAGCCCGTGCCGATGCGGCTCGATCCGAGGCACATTCCGACTCGGTACGGTTGGCCGATCCGATGTTGGCTGATCCTGCGCCGACCCCCCGTGCTTTCCCGTCCACCGTCGGAGTGGCCAGGGCAGGCGTCGATCCAGCGGGCAGGTCTTGCGGGCAGATGCCTCTAGTCCACCTCTCGCCCTCGGCGAGCGTCGGCTCGACGCCCTCCTGCGCTGTCGTAGCCGGGCCCCCGCCGCCTCCTGCTCCGCGGTGGCGTGCCCTGGCAGCTGCCGAGCATGCTTTCCCGGTGCAGGGCCCCAGAGGTCCCGACCGCTTCCCCAGTAGCTCTTCGCCCCAGATCCGCTCCTGATGGCCCCAGGCCCCGAAAGCTGGCCCCGGGGGGGGCCTCGGCCGAGGACGCGCGCCGGGATGGCGGAGCTGAGGGCGCCGGAGCTCTGGGGCCCCCCGCCTCCCCTCGGCTGCACGTGTCATAAGAGCTAGGCGTGCGCGTTGCTAATTTGACAGGCCCGTGGCCCGGACCTCTCACTTCGGCGACTGCGAATGCGCGTCCGCCCGCGACCAAGAAGTATCATAAGAGCGACCTTTCGCCGGAGTGGCCTCTGGTGCGGGCGCACCGGGGCCCCCAGACGGCGGACTGCGATGCGACAGCATCGGCTTCTGCGCTCGGACCTGGCCTCCCCGCGCCCCCAGCCGCCGAGCACCGGAGGGCACGCTTGCCCGGGGTCGCTCTCTCGCGTGTCGCCGATCCTGCTCCGCGGCCGCTGCGGGGTGCCGCGCCGCGTGCCCGCTGGTCTCTCTCTCTCTCTCTCGGCCTCTTGGCGTCGCTCGGGGGCGCGTGCAGTTTTTGGGGGCGAGGGGCATCGAGGAGCATCCTGGATCATGCGCGCACGACGTCGAACAGCGCACGCGGAATGGAATGGACGTCCGAGCCATGGCGAGCGGCGTGGGCGGGCGCCCGAGCCGAGCGCGGCCCCTGCGCGCGCCAGGTGGGGCGGGGCCACGCTCACCTCGCTGCGGCACGGCCCGCTCAGCGTCGCCGTGGACGGGCGCTCCGGTTTGTTTCCGCCCCCCGTGCGAAAAGCCGTTATTGATGATGGTGATGTTGGTGGAGAAGGTGATGATGATGATGATGATGATGATGATGATGATGATGATGATGATGATGCTGATGATGGTGATGGTGATGGTGATGGTGATGATGCTGATGATGATAATGATGATGATGATGATGATGATGGTGGTGGTGGTGATGATGATGCTGGTGGTGGTGGTGATTCATCATGCTGTTGGTGATGCTGATTATGCTGATGATGATGCTGATGCTGATGCTGATCATGATGACGGTGATGCTGCTGATGATGATTACGGTTATGCTGATAATTACGATGATGCCGGTTATGACGATGTTTGTGCGGATGATGAGGATGATGACGATGATGATGGTGATGATGTTGATGATGATGATGATACTTGTGATGGTGATAGTGATTCTGATGGTTATAGTGATGATGATGACGATGATGATATTGATGACGAAGATGATGATGGTGATGGTGATGGTGACGGTGATGGCGATGGTGGTGGTGGTGCTGATGATGATGATGATGATGATGGTGGTGATGATGACGACGACAACGGCGATTATGATGATGATGATGCTGATGATGATGATGATGGTGGTGGTGATGATGATGATGATGATGATGATGATGGCGATGATGATCATGGGATTAATGCTGCCTTTAGATGTCACTCACGTCGATTAGCGCTTGGTCACTGGAATCAAGAAGGTAGTGTCGATTTAGCGTCGAATAGCGTCGATGTGTGTCGTGTCGATTAGCGTCGATGTAGCGCCGACTGGCGCCTATTAGCGTTGTTACCTCCCGTGCGAAAAGCAACTGATGTTTTTGTACGCACCTTTCCCGCCCCCCCTTGATTTTGACGTTCAATGCGGTGCGGCTTGTCCAATTCGACCCGCGCCAGTCGCGTGATCAACACTGAATTGGGGGGGCGCTGGGCTAGCCAAACACCAGTTGCTTTTTCGCACTGGTTGTTTTTCGCACTGTCTGCTTTTCGCACCGAGTAGTAAAAACTGCATAAACATAATTCCTTGAGGTCCGCGCGGATTTTTTGGGCGCTGGGCCCCCCCCTGGCGGCACCTCCGGCGCCTGCCCTGGCGCGCTCCGCGCGCTGGGGAGGGGCTTCTAGAGCCGATTCAAGACATCCGCGCGGACCTCTCAGAAGTTACGTGATGCTACCACTATCATTGGAGGGGACGGCTTGGGAGGGCGGAGTCTTCGAGAGGCCGGAGGAGGCCCCTACGCAAGGAAGAACTACTAGTTCCTTTGCCAGACGGCGCGGGCCCCGCGCCCCAGCGCAAACGCCCGCGTGACAGTGTGTGGGCAACCGCGTAAGGCCATGCCTGCGATGTCCGAGGCCCCGCGCGACCCCGCTCCCGTAGCGACGGACAGGACTGGCCAGCCGGCCGCACGCGCTGCGATTCGTTGCCGTCTGTGCTCAAACGCTGGCTCAAACACGAGCCTCTAGGCCTCGAGCCCTCAGCGAGCACGGCAGCTTTTCTGCCCGCCGCCGCCAACAGCACCGCCTCTGTGACAATGGCGAGCGAGGATGCGCCTGACTGCCTGGGCGCGCTGTCACCTCGCATGTGTCGCGTGATACACACTGTGGCTAGAAAGCGGGGGGCCTGCCCGAACACTGTTGCCCGCATGGCTACGGCATTCAATATGTGCAGCATCAACATGTGTTCATGTCCACAGCGACGAGCACCCTCGACGAGGACCTGCGCATGCACGCGCCGGAACTGGCAAACAGCCAGCGCCGAGGCCGACCACATCGTAGCCGCCTTGGCCCGGATCGCGCACACTGCTGAAGTACTCCTTGCCCCTCCGAGGGAAATCCCCATGACGAAAACGACCAAGCGGGCGGAGACAAGCATAGTGCTACCGCGACCAGGCAAGCGGCGCCGAGCCGTGCCGGCAGTGGCGCCGCCCTGTGCTTCCGCAGCGGACGTGGAAAAGAGCAAGCTGGAGAACGCGCTGCAGCTCGCCTTTGCCCTTGCCGACGACGTCGGTATGGCGTCAGCCAAATTGCGGCAAATCAAAGAAAGCGAACTACCCGAGGCCGAGCAGCGCCGCCCATATAAGAATGTTGTTCCAACAGAAAGCCGAAGTTCCCGCTACACTCCTTGGCCACATTCGGGCCGTCTGCCGCCTTGGGGGCTGGTCTGAAAGCAAAGGCTGAGACCCCTGGAAGCTCAGCCCGCTGGAAATTGTTTACTTCCTACGGGGCGCAAGCGCCGGGCGGAACAGCGACCCGCGCATGCTTCTAAATGGTCTGGACTGGTTATGCATTGCCTTGGTGCTCCCCTGGGGGTTTCAAGACGCAGCCGTACAGGCCGTGGCAAACATGTCATCCAGAGATGCATACGCAGCCCGCTTGCAGGCGACGCCGTATACGTACCAAACGGCGGTAGACTTGCTTAGCCTGTTGAGCGCTCGCGTGGACGACCTAGGCGCGACCGCCTACAGCATCCTCTTCCTGCTGCGCCTAGCCTTCGCGCGCCTGCGGTTCAGCGACCTGGGCAGGAGCGTGGGCTCCAGCCTCGGGCGTGACGAACTGCGCGCTGTGCGCTGGCGCTCAAAAGGCAAACGTACGCCGGCGCCTTGGGCAGCGTTGCGGGTGAGTTGTGCCGGCTTCGACGGGGGCGAGCGTTTCCTCAGCCTGGCCAGTGGGATCAACCCACAGAGCGCAGACGCTCCGAGGGACTGGCTCTGGCTGTCGATGTCGTTGGTGAGCGGCGCCCTGGAGTGCGCCACGCCAGTGCGCCGCGGTAGCTACGCCAACTGCCTGATGGCGATGGCTGTCATGCACCGCTTGGCAGGGCACGCAGCCCACTACACGCTGCACAACCCGCGGTTCTTCAGATGCAGCGTAGCAGGTCAGGCCGGTTCCACCCTTGAGGAAAGGCGCAGCATGGCACGACGGGCTCCGCGAGCGGCATGCCCATCCGGCACGGCCAGATCCGTTGATGCGCCGAGCTTGCTGCGAAAGAACGAGTGCGGAAGAAACTCCGTGACGGCCTTCGCCCAAGCGGCGACTACGAGCTGCCGACGGTACACGAGGCGGCGACGGAGATGAGGGCGCGAGCGCACGCGGCATAGCAGCGAGAAGCAGCTCGCGCACCCGAGGCCGGGGCCCCGCAACCGCCAGATCTGCCGCTGGTCCGCGCCCTGATCAGCCACAAGACAGGCATGCTGCGCAAGGGCCCGCCGTGCAAACAGGTACGGTATCCAACCCTACCGAACTACGAGCAGGCTGCGGAGGACCAGTCCAATTTGCACCCGTACCGGCGCTGCGGCAGGTGTTTTAGGACCAGCACCGTGGCGAGGCCAGAACGGGCACACCTAGGCGCGCCGCGTTCAGCGCGCAGCAGTGCCGGATCCGACGGCCGCAGCTCTTCCATGAGCTCGTCTGGGTCGAGCGCGACGGCGCAACCACATCCATGTTTTTTTGCGCGGCCAGGATCCAGTGCGCCCGCGTGGCGATGACCAGGTGCCTGCCGAGAGGAAGCATAACATAAACTAATTTAAAATAGTAATGCGAATAAAAATATCAATAATAATGATACTCGTAAAACAAGTGGGCAACTTAATCCAACACATAATGAAATATATGCATAGTCCGTAAAGCGTCTTGTTGCCACTGCTGGGCGCGAGGGACGGCACCCTGCGTAAATGCCTGTGTAGAGCTGCGTAAGAAACGCGTCAGGTGGGACCGCGCGGCCCCTCGTCGCAAGATTCGTGAATGATTTTTTGGTTTCTCTACATTCCTGGGAGGGTGACTTGAACATCGGCGCTGGTGGATCCGTGGTCGAAGCGCGGCCTAATCCAGCATAGGCCCGCCGAATCCGATGTTCATCCCGTGTAATTTCGTTTCATTTCCAGCCCAATCCAGCCGAGTCTGGCGTAGTGGCTCCTTCATCGGGTTGATTGCCCTTGCCGCTTCGTCAGGGAGCTTCTCAATAGCTGCCTCCTACGATTTGCCCCGAAGCAAACGAACTGCATAAACGTACACTCTTGGGCATCCGCGTTGATTCAAGACACATGCGCGGACCTTTGGCAGTAGATGTGTCTGCAATTTCGTGTTCCTTTATTGCTCACCGCTTGCTTTCGTTAGGCCGATATCCACCCCCAGCGGGCCAGGATTGCTTGGTGCCACTCGCCTGCTGCCTCTTGGTGGGGATGGATGCCACGGGGCCCGATGGAATCTGCACCTATCCCCACCCAGGGAGGTAGGTCAGCCAGCGGGGACGAGGTTGTTATTCGATGGGGATGGAGTTTGGCCCACCGATGCTGAATCGGCGCGCAGAGTCGCCAGTGGTTCGAGCGACACCAGAATATTCAAAACCCAAACTCTCGGAGGTTCGCCCGGCGTTCCTGGGTCGGCACCAGACCGCCCCCCACTGGCTGCGCCTTCCGCGCCCAGTGGTGCGCTGCGCGCCTGGGGAGGGGGGCCCAGCGCTGGTCCCAGAAGTTCGTGCGGAATGATACCTTGTTATGGTTTCTGCTTCGCGTCTGGCGGCATTCGGCGGCGAGCGGGGGGAACTGACAAGGGGAAAGCGTTCCCAGAAGGCGGCGGGACTTTTGAGGTGCCCTCGCGCCTTCTGACATGTTTTTGTGCCTTCGGGGAGCGCTTCGAGAACTGATCAGAAGGCCAGGGGACTTCCGAGCCTCATGAGAAGGCGCCCTCCCTCTCACTTCCCCCCGGGGCTCGCCGCTGAGGAATATGGGGAGGAGTTAAGCCAAAACCGCACTGCTTACCAGCCTGGAACATATCCCTATCCCTATGCTGGGTACCTCCTCATCACCATGCCAATCTTAGGGATTCCCTTTTTTTTGAGGGAATTTTTTTAAGATTGTCATCGCCTTTTGGCGTGTCAATCTTAGGGATAGGGACACGTTCGAGGCTGGTAAACTGCAGCATGCGTCGCTGTTCGCTCGGCAGCAACGCCCGCGTTCCCTTTGTTCGTCCTCGTCGGGGCAGCCGGCTCGCGCCTGCACGCCGCACGAGGGCCGGTGCTTGCACACCCGTGCGGCAGCCTCGTCGGGGTGGCCTTTTTCCCAGTGCTGCCTCGAACGCCTGCGCAGCGTGTTGCGGCGCTGGGCTATCTCGTCTGCGTGCTCCTTCCTGTCCCTTGGCATCGCTCGGGCGTGTGCATTGTTCCTTCGGCGAGGACCATCGAGGAGCATCCTTGATCATTTGGCGAAAAACCACGCACGACACCGACAAAAAACACACGGAGTGGACGTCCGAGCGATGGCCAGGTCCCTCCCTCCGCGCGGCCGCCCTGGTCCCTGTCCCTCTTCTTGCATGCTGGCCAAAGAGCAAGTCGGTTGCCCCGAACTGCCGCACGCTGGGGCGGACCGCCTCTGCCTCGCCGCCGTCGGCAGAGCTGCGCCGCCAGTTCTGGCCCACCTTCTGCCTCAGCGCGGCACGCTGAGCGCGTCCCCGTCCCCCGGCATCCACGCTCTCCGAGCGTTTTCCAGGCCTCCCGTCCCACGAGGCCGAGCGTCACACGCCGTTTTGTCTTGGAAGACATAAGTAGCGTGCCGCAGGGGTTGCCGCCGCGACGCGCCAAGCAGAGTCTCGTGACCGCAGGCAACATGTCCTTCTGCAGGAGGCATCTTCAAGCATAGCTCATAAATAGTCAGTGGACGGTTTGCCTATTCTTTTTGTTTATGTTCGATTAATTTTGGCTACTTTTCATTTTCTTCCAAGGTCCGCCCGTAGGAGAACATGCCCGATCTAAAGGTAACAGTCGCCTCTGGCTCTTATCCAATGACTGTGTGGGGTGACAGAAACCGGAGGTGACACGCAGCTTTGCTTCCCGATCGCCAGAAGTGGCGTCCAGGTAGTGTTGATCGTTGTGATGAGCTTCAGGCCTCCCGAGCGCATTGTCTGACAATGCGGCCTTCTTCCCAGGCGATGGATGATCAACCGCTGCAGATTGGAATCCATGTCCGAGAGAATTGGCAGGTACTGTCTCAGTAATCGGACTTGGACTCATGATAAGAGGCTCGTTGATATTTGGCGAGCGCGCATCTCCTGCTTTGTGGTTCTGACGACATTTAACTTGGAGCCTGTGATCTGCTAGGACGCGCACCGTGCTGGGAGGAGTGCAGGACTGTGGCTCGAGTGCGTCCTTGTCGACTGGCCCGCCAGGAGGACGAGGAGGAGATGTCCTCGCACTCTCCCGGCAGCTACAACGTTTCGGCCGAGATCCGCAGGATTGCGTTTGCCGTTCCGTCCTCTCTCTCTCTCTCTCGTTCGCTCTCTGGCTCTCTCGATGCCTATACCTTGTTCCTCGGTCTGCTTTCTTCCTGACTGCCGCCTGTTTCTCTCCGAATCTCTGCGCGAGCCGCCCTGGCGATCCCGTGGTCTCGTCGAACGGGTGGCTTTACTTATCTCGCGTCACTGCTGTGGGCCGTCTGCGATTCGGTGGACTCTGTGATATCGCCCCCTGTGGCCAGTGCGCACCCGTTTAGAGTACCGCCGGGAGCGTTCGTCAGATCGAGTTTGCGTTTTTTTGATTTCGCTTTTACATGTTCTTTGCCTCTCTCGTTCTGTCTGCTTATTGCTCTGTCTGTTTGTCTGCCTGACGTTTCTTGCGTCTCTCTCCATATTTCTTCCTCCCTCTCTCTCTCTCTTTGTTTCTCTCTTTCTCTCTTTCTCTCTTTCTCTCTCTCTCTCTCTCTTATCTGTATATCTGTCTATGTCTATATCTATACGTGTGTGTGTGTGTATGTGTGTGTGTGTGTGCGTGTTACCGTGGGTGCTTACTTGCACGTATGCCCCACACGGTGATTGCATTGAGGGCTTCTTTTTTGTTTTCTAAGGAGCTGGGCCTGGTTGTCCGTCTGGCGGCTCTGTGGTCGCGCGCCGCCCCGTCGCCGCCTCGTCGCCGCCCGTCGTCTGGGCTTGCTTGGCGGTCTGGCGGCTCCGTGGTCGCCGTCGCCGCCCCGTCGCCGCCTCGTCGCCGCCCGTCGTCTGGGCTTGCTTGGCGGCCTGGCGGCTCCGTGGTCGCCGTCGCCGCCCCATCGCCGCCTCGTCGCCGCTCGTCGTCTGGGATTTGTTGGCGGCCTGGCGGCTCCGTGGTCGCCGTCGCCGCCTCGTCGCCGCAACAAGGACCGCACCATACAGAGTGCACCACATAGACTCTTCTTCCCAAGAAAGGAGATCGGTGCTACCAACCTCCCCCCCCCTGGACTTATCGATTCCCTGGGAGCCTGTGCAAAACACATGTGATTCTGACCTGCGAGTTCATATTTTCCCAGACCAACCGGTATCGGTCCCCGCTCGGTTCCCTTGCAACAATCGGCTACACGTAAGAGCGACCCTTCGCCGGAGTGACCTTTGATGTGGGCTCACTGGGGTCCCCCCGACCGCTGAGCGCGATGCGAGAGTGGCTGCTTGCGCCCTTGGATTTGGCCACCTTGCCCCCCCTCAGTCCGCGCACTAAAGGTCACTCTTACCCAGGGTCACTCTTGCGTGTCACCGAAACAAATACTATGCGCGCGTACTCGTTTATCACAGATCAGAAGTTTTTAATAATCGTTTGCAAAAGCGGGACGAAGTGCACACGCGCGCGTCGTCGCGAGCGCACGTTTAAATCCTTCAACAGCCGTCGGTTCTGGAAGGATTTCGAAATCGAGTGTCCAAAGAACACAGGGTTTCGCACCACGGATTTTCATCAAAAGCGTGCGCGTTCTTGCGAATTCTTAATGAAACCGTACGTTTTTGTTGTTTTTAATAAAAAAATATGTTCATCACATGCGACCAGACGGGTTTCGCGCGCGCATGTCGAAATCGTTCTAATTCCCTTGCGCGCGTGCTGGGGTGGCACGGTCCGTGTCAAATCGTACAATGCGAGCCACTCTCGCACGTTTGCCGCGCGCGCATTTCGAATTCTTTCTAAAACCTTCATCACCGACGCGAAGACGCCGCCATCGTCGTCGGCGTGATCAGCATCGGCGCCGTCACTGGCTGCCCCGTCGTCGCTGTCAGCATCGTCGCCAGCATCGCTACTATCGCCATCGTGTTTACAGTTGTCGACGTTGCCATCATACCGCGCCCGCCCAAGTCGCCGACTCGCAATGAAGTG